GCCTTCTGTCTGCCATTGGTGAACTGGAAGTCTGTTTTTGTGTCTTGCTTAAGTGTTTTCTCATTTTAATTTTTGTTGTCGGGCTGTCCTTGGTTTAATCTCTGGGTTATCACCCAAATCTTCCTGATATAGTTGCACCCTAGCTTCTGTGTCTCTAACGACCCACATTCTCATCTTCATAACATAAGAACAGCTCATCAAATCAACCACAATCCTTTATCCCAACTGATACAATCAGCAACACATTAAGATCAAGCCCAACTTGGAAACTGACCACCTGTGGTAGTCACTAGTCTTTCACCCTTAAACCATTTGAATTAAATTGAAATCAAGAAGCAGTCCAGAACATGTCTGCAGTGAACAAAATTTCAATATAGTGTATTTACCATTTAATGGCTCAGACAGAGTAAGGATGCAAGACCCCTGGTCTCAGTTAGCTGATGGCTGAACCCCATGACGCTGACTGAACTCGACCCAGATTGAGTTCCCCTATCTTCTGAATGGTTGAACTCCACAACATTTTATTACAGATTTCCCATGCCCTTTCTTTAAAGATGTTCAAAGTTGGGAACTCAGAAAAATACCCTTTATGACCACCTCTGCCTCTGCAGAGTGGGTCCAAAGGCTGACACAATCAGGAGGTCTGAAAGTGTGCGGGGGTGGGGTGGGGGTAAGGGGTGTTATGGGGGTTCAGGGGCGCCCGCTCGGCTACCTCCCTGATGCTGGAGCGATGGCGGCTCCAGGTGGGAGAAGGCGTGGCTTTTCTCCCTGTGGTGGATCGGGGCCCAGGCTACCTTCCAGCCACTGGAGGATGGCGGCTCTGGGTGGGAGAAGGCGTGGCTTTCTGCTATTACCAATCTTGTTCAATGTAGTTCTCAAAACAGAGCAATCAGGCAAGGGAAAAAAATAAAAGTATGTAGGTATAAAATGAAGAAGTTAAATTGTCATTACTTGCAGATGACATGATACTCTACACAGAAGACCCCAGAAACCCTTCCTTTCCTGAATTAATAACCAAATTCAGTAGTGTAGCAGGACACAAAGTAAACACTCAAAAATCAGGAGTGTTCCTGTACACCAATATGAACTCAGCATGAGAGCGACTAGAGAAATAATACATGTCACAGTAGCATCAAGACAAATTGAATACTCAGGAATTAACAACCAAGGAAGTGAAAGCCCTCTACAATACTATAGTGAAAACTACAATATTCTGAAAAGAAGATTGGAGGGGATACCAGAAAATGGAAAGATGCTTGTGTTCTAGATAGGCAGAGCCAATCAAAATGGCCATATTTCCAAAACTGATAAGCAGATTTAATACAGTTTCAAATAAAAAAATCTGGGCAACAAGCGTAAGGTAGGAGACATCACAGTCCCAGATTTGAAATTATACTACAAAGCTGCAGCGATAAAAACTGCTTGGCTTTGGGAATGGCTCACTGGAACAGAGTAGAGCAGTGGTGGTGAACCTATGGCACAAATGCTGCAGTGTGCACACAGAGCCCTCTCTGTGAGTTGTATGAGTTGTTTTTTCTAAACTAAAACCTCAGTATTCAGGTTTAGTTGCAGTGTTAGCACTTTGTAGTAAGTGGATTTTTATCAGAGCATGATCAGTCCACTACTGCCTAGAAAGGGGGATGCTGAAAGCTAAAGAAAAAAACAATAGGGATTTGCATGATTTCAAAGTATGTGGGAGACCAAGTCACTGCCTCAGAGTAGGCAAAGATAAAGACACTCCCAGCTAGCCATTATTTATTGGGTACACACAGTAATTGGATGGGGGCTGCAGTGATCCTGTGCAGATATTATGCTGATGAAGGTGGTAAGGAGAACATTATCACGATAGTGGGTGAGACAAGAAAGCAGTCTAATAAAGAAGTTGTCCTTCCCTCTGGTAAAACCTCTGTCTTTTTTTTTTTCTTCTTCTTTTTATCACCATTTGGTTCTCAAGAACCAGGATGTCTTCAGCTGATGTAACTTGCCCTTGAGCGTCACAGTATCATGGGGTCATTGAAGCCTCAACTTGTGTCCAGAGGCAAAACAGAGTTATGTTTCCACATGTCATAGCCAGCTCTTGGGCAACGTGATGTTGAGCCTTAGGCAGCTGTAGTCATACTTTAATTATGAAATGATTTTCCCCCAAAATTTATGTACAATGCCTCAACAAATTTTAGGTTGCAGTTTGGGCACTTGGTCTCTAAAAGATTCACCATCACTGGAATAGAGGACAGAGAAAAAGTGTTGGGTACACTTAGCTACCTTATCTTTGACAAGCAGGGGGAAAATACTTTCTCTGGAGAAAGAGATTCTTTAACAAATGGTGCTGGGAAAACTGGCTAGCCACATGCAGAAGTATGAACCCAGATCCATCTCTCTCACTGTGCACCAAACTAAAATAAAAATAGATCAAAGACTTAAATATTGAATCCAAAACACTTAATCTGCTGGAAGATGCAATAGATAAAACACTTGAAGATATTGATATAGGCAAGGCCTTTCTGAACAGAGCCCCAGTTCCACAAAGAATAATACCAAGAATCAACAAATGGGATCACATTGAATTAAAAAGTTTCAACACTGAAAAGGTAACCAACAGAGTAAAGACAAACCTTACAGAATGGGAAAATTTTTTGTGTGAGCCATTTCTCAAAGGACTATATCTAGAATATGTAAAGAAGTAAAAAATATTAGACCTCCCCACCAAATTTAAAGACCCAGTTAAAAAATAAGCATCTGAAGTGACTAGATGGATATTTTTCCAGTGACAAAGTACAAATGGCCAATAAATACATGAAATAATATTCAACATCACCAGCTATTCTAGAAAAAAATGGTTAGCTTTGAGAAATCAAATATCAAATCCTGGAGAAGCTGTGGGGGAAAAGGAATACTTCATTATTGTTGGTGGGAGTGTAAAGTGGTACTCCCATTATGGAAATAAGTATCGAGATTCAAAAACATAAAACTAGAAATTTCATTCAACCCACCTATTCCCCTGTAGGTATCTTCCAGAATGAGCTAAAGACATCATATTACAGATACAGGCCTCTTCATGTTGACAGTAGCACAATTCACAATAGCTAAATCTTGGAAGCAGCCTATTATATGTCCATCAACAGTTGAATGAATAAAGAAAATTTGGTATTTGCACACAATATTCTGCCATAAGGAAAGATAAACTTGAGTCATTTGTAGGAAAATGGATGTGCCTTGAGACTATAATGTTAAGTGAAATCAGATACACAATTTTTTTTTTGGTGCCAGGAATTGAATTCAGGACCTTGTGCTTGCGAGTCAGGCACGGTGCTACTGAGCTAAATCCCCAGCCCCAAACACACAACCTTAAATATTACATGGTTCTTCTTACATGAGAACCCAAAATTTAAATTAAGTGCAAAGTAAATATAGAAAATAAGCAGTAGTGTGATGGATCTTTGACTGGCATGTATATGGGAAAGGAACCAAGAGCTGGAGGGAGAGGGAAGGAGGAGAGAGGGGAAGGAAATGAGATAAGAAAAGTGGGGGGTTGTAAAGTGTGTACATGAATTATATAGATGTATGTACATATATATGTATATATAACATATATATATGAAGGGGTCCAAGAGATGTAGGGTAGGGAGAGGGTAGGGAGGACAGGCAGAGGAGCTTAAAAAATTAAGAAATACCATGTGCTTTATGTGTACCAACTTCCCCATGGTGACTATAATCATTATGTACTATAAACAGTTACCAATTTAAAGCCATTTAGAATGTAAGTGGATTAGACATAGTCAAATAATAGAATGAAAGCCAAGTGTTTCTAGGACAAAGGGAGGGTAAGCTAGAAATTATCAGTAAACTTGATAATGGCAGTGTACTAGATGATATTAAATGACAATGTGCCAACTGAGTATATGACTTAGTTTTTTTCTAAGTTTTTTTGGATTAAAATTTTTTGTTCAACTATTTGACATTTGTATCTAGACAAATACTGACCTGAAGTCAGTAGACTTGGCTTTACTGACTAGCTGGCAAGTTTTTGCTATTCGATAGTTACATAATTTGAAAACTTGTGAAGTTGTATAGCTAAAATCTTTCCAATCATAAATTTTGTGTGCCTTACTAAACCTAAGCAAACACAGATTTTTTTTTATTTACAGAAATATTTAAGACAAAAGTTATAATTGGAACTGGCTTTTCAAAGCAGTTTAGAATATTTTAAGTCACCATTAAGGAAATAGGAGGAACCTAAAATGATGCTTCATCAAAATGTTATGTGGGGGATCTAGGGGAAGAGTGAAATTCATCTGTGTGTATACACTTCCACTGTATATAGCAAGGGAATAAGGAAAGAATTAGAAGACAGTTTCTCCTGAAATAAATTTTAATTTTCACATAATGACGTGTTGAGGTAGATGCCTAAAAAGGACAGTGGTGTAAATACACGTGGAGTTTAAATTCAGATAGTGCCTATGCCTTAATTATAGTTTTGTATATGAAATGTGACTTAATGATTTAGGAGTTCTTTTAAAATAAAATGCTTTATAAGAAATGATTTAGGAGTTCTTTTAAAATAAAATGTTTTATAAGATCCTAATGGTATAATTGACAATGTGAAATAGGAAGAAAAGGGCTAAAGGTGTAGGGGAAGTGGTAAGGGTGGGGGGAAGGAAAGAAGGGAAAAGAAAAAAAACATGAGAGAATGGAAAAAAAGTATTTGTAAATAGGGAAGGAAGGTGGAGTAAGGGAGGGCAGGGGTAAAGGGAAAAAATGGGAACCAAGACCTGTCATGTAAAGGTACAAGATCCCAATAATGAATGTAACTGTACTGTGTACCTAAAATGTACCAATAAACTCAATGAGAAAAATAAATAAGTAAAATGCTTTAGATGATGTAAATGTATTTGGTTTTCTTTATTTTTCAGTAAGTATTTCTTAGAAATGAATATAATCAAATTTTATTATCTTTAGTTAGTATTACTTATTTAATGTACCTATTTCTCTTTAATTTCTAGAGCTAAAGGCAGAAGCTAGTCTGATGAACCAGATGAGTAGTTGTGATAGTTCATCAAATTCTTCAAGTTCATCATCATCAAGTAGTGAGGACAGTTCTAGTGAATCAGATGGTGAAGAAGGCAGTACTTCTAATCCAGGGAATTGTATCTCAGGACAACCTACCATGTCTGCCATACCACAGTACAGGACTTCTGATACAGATGCTGGCCATGAGAGATTTCATGATAACAGTGGCTTTCTGATGAACACTCTACGTAAGTATATATAAATATGAGTAAATAGAAAAGCAAGAATTCATGGGGTAGTCATACTGTTTATAGTCTAAAACTCAGGTAAATACGAAGATATAAGAGTATCTAGAAAGATGAGAAAAATCCAAAGGGTACTATGTCATAGTAAAAAATCAAGAATAATATACTAAAAAAAGTAAGTTCTATGACTCATCACACAGAAGTGTTACAAAAGCAGTAAAGGACGACATATTTTTATTGACATGCTAATGAATTTTGACTGCACTTTAAGTAAAAAATTAGATAACATGTTTTCATTATTTAAAATGATGGCCTGAGCCTGCTGGCGTGGTGGCACACGCCTGTTATTGCAGCACTCAGGAGGCTCAGGCGAGAGGACTGCTGTGAGTTCAAGGCCAGCTTGCGCTTTATTGTGAGTTCAGTGCCAGCCTGAACTACATAGCCCCTATCTGAAAAACAAACACAGCAAAAAAGGAGGCCCAATCTTCTAAACCCCAACATTCTCTTTTCCTGATGTAATAAGTGAATGTTATCTAATAAAGATGATGTTAATATGCAAAAAAGACTTAAATGGTAAGTGATACTGAAATTATCCTGAAGTTTGATAGTATATGTTTTTTCTTTCTAGGTAGTATTGAGTTATTAATTATGTAACTAATTGATAATCTGATTATTAATTACAAAACACTAGCTAAACAGAATCCCTTTGTTGTATACTTATTATAAAAATTAGTGTATTAGTTGGGTGTGGTAGCACACGCCTGTAATCCCAGCACTCGGGAGGCTGAGGCAGGAGGATCTCTGTGAGTTCGAGACCAGTGTGGGCTACACAGTGAGTTCCAGGGCAGTCTGAACTACAAAAAACAAACAAAAGTTTATATTTCACAAATTGACAGATCTACTAGGCAAAAAATCAACAATGAAATAATAGAACTGAACCAAGCTTTGGAACACATGGACTTAATAGATGTTTATAGAGTATTCCACTCCCAAAAACCAGAATATACATTCTTTTCGGCTGCACATGGATCATTCTCCAAAATAGACCACATACTGGCTCACAGAACAGGTCTAAATAAATGCAAAAAAATTGAAGTCATCCCCTGTATATTATCAGATCATAGTGCAATCAAACTAGACATCAATAGTACAAGAAACAATAGAAACTTCACAAGCACATGGAAACTAAACAGCACTCTCCTAAACAATCAATGGATTACAGAGGAAATTAAAGAAGAAATTAGACAGTTTTTACAAATAAATGAGAATGCCAGTACAACATACAGGAATCTTTGGGACACAATGAAAGCAGTTCTACGTGGAAAATTCATAACATTGAATGCCCACACTAGGAAAACAGAGCGGGCTCAAATAAACAACTTAACGATGAAACTTAGACTCCTAGAAAAACAAGAGCAAGAAAAACCCAAAGCTC